GTTGTCAGGGGGCCCCCCCCCCCCCCCCCCTCCTCGTTCCCCGCAAGCTGACCATTGACCCCCCCCCCCGCCGCCCCCACTACCGTCCTGCTGCACCGAAAAACGTCCTCCGCAGGAGGCGGAGGCTGCGCCGTAACGATCCTCTCGGGCGAAGACCTCTGCAAGGCGTCCCTGGTGGAAGCGATGCTCGGCGAGGGCTTCAAGTGCTACGAGACTTCGATCGGAGGGGACGGGGTGTTGTTCCACGGGGACGCCGTTCCCCCGCCGTTTGTTGCTGCGGCGGCGGCGGCGGCGGCGGCGACAGCCCCAGCAGCGGTTGCTAGGGGCGGCGATGGGCTAGAGATAGAAGCAGGGTGGAGCATGTTTTTAGGTCAGGTTCTTGCGGGGGATCGGGAAGGGACCGGGTTGGGAGTGGCGGCGGCGGCGGCGGCGGTGGTGATCGCCGCTGCCGTCCCCGTTGTCTTGGGGTGGAGAGGCTTGCGGTACTACTAAAATAGGAGGTCGGCCCAACGTTGGTCGGCCGTGGTTTTCCGGCAGACACTAGTCGGAGCAGCGTGCGTATGTGTGTCTTTTATTAGTAGCATCGACCGCGCTCACCAGCTGACAATAAATGAAAATACGTCAGTCTGTCTCATCACTAAATAGTGTGTGTGCTGTATCGCCCCCTTGCTTGTTTTGTGGTCTGCTGAAGGGTCTGTCTTGTTGTTGTTTGAGACATTGTGAGGCTTGCTTGCCTCCGTCAAGAGGTTCGGTCAACGAAGGCAGTGTTTTGTTTACGATATGTAGGTTATGGTGTATTTTTTAAGAAAAAGAAGGCGTTTCGGGCGGTGTTTGGCGCGCTTTTCGTCTCGTCGTCGTGTGCTTGTTACTTGCGCTCACTCTTTTTCTTTTCTTTCAGGAAAAGTGGGAGCGAGGCCTTGCAGAATTTGGCTTTTGGGAGTATTTGCCACCGCGTTGTCGGCTTGTCACTCTCTCAGAAGTGGTACAGACGTTTGGGACGCGGCGGGTTGTCATTCTTTCTTCTCGTTCGTTGCAGTTTGCGAATGCACCATTACCAGCTAGGCAGAGCGTATGCGGAACGGTAGGTGATACAAGGGCCGCGCTGGCAGTGTACAGTACATAGTGAAAAGGGCAGACAACCCGAAAAAAAGAAAAAAGACTAAAAAAAAAACGTTACATTGTGTCGTGTCTTGAGCGCTGCTGCTGTCACTCAAGACGGTTTGGAGGGGCGAGCGGGGTTGCTTACGTCATTTGCAACCGCCGCGTCGCTTGACCCGGCAAGTCAGCTCTGGATGAAGGCTGCTTGTTTCCGCATTACCGTAGTCAATGAGAGAAGAGCGGTGAGGGGGGGTGGGGGGGGGCGTACTCTTATGTTTTGCATGCCTTAGCGGTTAGACCGTTGACCACGTGTCCTCGAGAGGACGGGGCATTGTTCCCACAGGACCGATCACCGATGGCCAATCGTTCCTTCCTACTTTGCCAAAGGTGGCTCAAGAATGTCTTCCCTTCTGGAATTCATCCTGTGTCCCCTCGTCTCCCAAACGCTCTACTTTCCACCGGAACACTTTCCTCTGTTTCTTACTCTCCGTCTTTCTATGTAGATCGGTCGATGTTTGCCCATATGAGGAAGTGGTCGGTCGAACCTATATCTATCGCACTTATTATGTGCAGCTCTGGGATCTGTGTGCTCCCCCTATCTACCAGGATGTAGTCGAGGATCGAGTATTCATTGCAAACTGCCCTTTGCCTGGTGAGCTCCGGCTTATCGCATTCCCTCCTACCGTTCAACACCATCAGCTCGTTGCTTCCCAAGAATTCAAGCATCCTCACTCCGTTGTCATTCACTTTGTCTTCTCCGTGCTGCCCGATCGCTTGTCCTCTACTGCAAGCTTTCCCTACTCTGGAGTTGAAATCGCCCACCATGACAACTTCTCCCTTCCTACTGAACCTCTGGACATCTTCCCCAATTTGTCCAAAGTTCTCCTGCGCCTTGCTTGCGACTTTCTTCGACGACGGTGGGACGTATACATTCCCTAGAAACAAATCTTTCTCACCCCGCTCCCCAGGTATTTAAGCCATAGGCTTTCCTCGAACTCCGTTTTCACCACTACTTCCACCACGTCAAACAAGTGTTCCTTGACCAGGAATCCGACTCCCCCCTCCCCCCTTTTCTTCGGGTCTAGGCCCTTTCTTGCCTTCCCTACCCACCGGTATTTCCCTAGTTTGCTTACCACGTCCCCATCCTTCATTTCCCACGTCTCTTGGATCCCCACTACATCTAGATCGTTTTGTTCTACTTGGTCCACTATATCCAACCGCTTGCGCTCACTCCTTGCGAACCCGCACACGTTCCACGACCCCCACTCTCAGCTTGTGCTTTTCCGTATTGGAGATTTTCCGCACTCTATCGTTCGCCTTCCGCTTCTTCTCGGCGTTCTTCTGACTTGCCTGCTCGGCACCCCCGCCCGGTCCCTACTTCGCCTCCATCGCCCTCGCCTTTTATCTCCTTACCTTCTCTGTTTCTATCATGTTCGCGACGCAAACCCTCCATCCAAACTTCCTTACGTAGTTCGACAGTTTCTCGATGTCAACCCCCAAGCACTCTTGGCTGTCTCCCTTGGCCACTTTCACCCAGAAATGTTCATGCTCTCTGCCTACTTCTCCCCTTGCTAGGCAGTGTAGTCCCTCCCTGTCACAACAGTTCTTGAACTCTATCCTCTTCATGTCCCTTGGAATCCCATACAGCAGCAGCTCCAACCTGTCTCCCTTCCACACTTTCTGCTTCCATCCTCCCGGCTTCTTCACCATCCTCATGATCTCTACAGCAACTGGACCGTGGCCACTCGTTTTTCGTTTTTTTTCAGGAAGGTATACGGAATACTCGGCCTTCCCAATCCGAGTGTCCGGTGGGGGTTGGGTTCTTTCAGTGCTTTTGCCGGCTCGCCGACGCTAAATAGCGCCTCCAACATAGGCTCGTAGTCTAGATTCAAGTTCACACCTCCTGGCACAAGTACCCCAGTCTTGTGCCGGGCGTTCCGCTTAGTGAACACCCAGACGTCCCCCGACCACCCAATTTATCATCTCCGAAGTCCCGCGGTACAAGCTACTTTCCTCCTAGTTCAGGGACGACTTGCATAGCCTAAAACCCTATTCACACGCCGGGATGGAGCGTACACAACGTCCAGCTTCTCATGTACGCTCCACCATGGGTTGCTACCCCACTTACGCTCCCGAGTAGACCTATCTGTCGAAAGTTTGGCCAACAATTCCTTACTGCTTTGTACTCGCCTCTCTCCAATCGAAAACAATGCATTGTGCGTGCCGCACATCTAGCTCCGCAGTTTTTGCGTGGTTGGTCAGGTTGTTCAGCTTGCTCGACGTGAGTAATAAGCTTTGCTTTGATGGCTCTATGTTTTATTGGTCCACTTCAAGCAACGAAACGCCCCCCCGCCCTCCACCGTCCGATCCCCTTTGGATCTCACGCCCGGAGAGTTTTGGGGTGTCTTAGCTCTAAGTCCTCCACCGCCCAATGGGGGACTTTAATGTTTTTTTAATGCCATACCTTAGGTAAGCTTGTGCTTACTTTTGGACTGTACCCTCATCCTCTGGGGGAGGTAGAGGGGAGGGGGGGCGCATGGCCTCTATTTTTCAGGGGGGGTTCGGGTACCGGTTGGGGATCGGGTCTATGTGTACTGCATTCTCGAATTGTCCCACCTCACTACAGCTACTGCGGAAGAGCGGTGAGGGGGGGCATTAAACACGCGAGAGTGGTAAGGAAAATGCCATACTATCCTTTGCTGGACGCCCCCCCCCCCCCCCCCTGAAAAAAACGCCGGCCGTGTTTTCGTGTGCGTTCTTGTCGGAAGCCCCGTAACACAAACAACGAGACCAATTCTCGGGGGACGTGTTCACCCTGAGGTATATCTCTCCGCAGCTGTTGTCGCCTTTGAGAACGCCCTGATGGGGGTGTTTTTTCACGGGAGAATGTTTGTGGGCTCCCCGGGGCATTCGCAGATAAACGATGTTGCGCACGGTGGTACGACGCGCTGTTGTTAGAGGAAAGGGACCCGGTGTTGTCGGTGCGGGAGAGACAGCATTGCTGCTGTCAAAGTTACGGGACGCGAGCGTAAGCGCCCTTGTTCCCCGAGAGACCACAATTTGTTCGAAGGACTGGACCGAACACCGAGAAAGTCGGGAGCACACGCGATGGAGCGCGCTTGTTCCACGCTGCTGGCGAAAACTACCTACAGACCAACTTTCCATGCAAGGTAGTGCTGTAGGGCTTGGTTTCACGGCCGAGTGTTTCCTTCATACGCTTGGGTGTTATCTGTGCACAGTTGCTCGTCTCCACAAGAAACACTACCGTTCTTATACGCGTTTAACCTGCACCAGGTGCAGCTCAGCGGTGTGTGCGCTAAACCTGCGGCGTGGAACGCAGAGACAACGAACTCATCCCACAACCGGATGACACGAGTCCGATGCGAGAAAGGGGTGCAGGCGCTGTCCATGACGCGGAGACCGACGAAAAACAAAAGGCGCTTGATTCTGACGTGGTAACCTAAACGCAGACACCACCACCGCAAGGCTAGTAAAAGGAGGGCGGTCAGTGCCGTCACGTGCCTGTGTGTCTCAAGACACCTCAAGTCTATTCTCTCGACAGGTTCAGACCGGCTGGCTGTCATCTTACGCCTACACAAAGGACTTCCAAGATTATCCTCGAGACCTCCTCGTACACAAACCAAAACGGACGCTCATGTACGTGTGTTCACAAGCAGCACTGCTTCCCCTTTTGCGGTTCCGAGGATTTGGCGAACGTTTTCCGGCGATCCGTCCGATGGGTCCGGTCCAGTCCCGTCAAGCCGACCCGCGGTCGGTCATCCGTTCTGCTCCACCTTCCCTTCTCGGTAACGGTTGATTGCCGCCGCCACCTGCGATAGACGGGAGGATCGGACAGATATTATATCATAGGTGGAAACGACAAAGCACACACACACAAATCACGCAAATAATTCCTGCGCCCCCCCCCTGTCGGTAGAACCCTTACCCTTGACCAGAACGTCCTCGCGTTTTTCATCCCGCCACGCGACTGGCGTCTAATCATTAGTCAGTCGGTTAGTGCCGACGCTCACGAAAAAAAATACCAAAGACACACGCACAATAGTCAATGGCATTTAGAAGTGTTTTTTGTGTTTTCGACCGCACTGAGACTGACGTCTTTTCATTGACCAGCCGGTTAGCGCGGTCGATGCCAATAAAAAAGACACACGTTTCTGTTTTTCAACCGCAGTGAGACTGACACCATTTCGTTGTTCAGCCGGTTAGCGCGGTCGATGGCAATAAAAAACACACCTCGAATCGCCGCGGCCTGGCGTACTTTGCCATGAACGCGCCCGGCATGAGGGCGTCCAGGCCCTTAGCGTCCATCTCGGCTTCCAAGAAGTCCAGCAAGTCCTGTGCGTCATCGTGTGGGTGCCGAGAGCAAAAAAAGGAAATACGTTGGTGCCGTGGTTTATTTGCCGATGGCTCTAAGGCCAGAACTCTTCTATAGCACGAGCTGTAGCGAGCAGCCCCAGCGCCATGCGGCAGTAGTACCGTAGGCGACATGACATGACACAAGATACCACGCCCCCAGGACCGATTTTCAAAGCTCGATTTTTCCATAACACGAGGAGGATGCCAACATATGTTTTCGGAAAAATCTCGACGAGACGGTTCCCATGTGGCCATCTTCGGCACCGCCAATCGAGCTTTGAAAATTGGCCAATGGAGTGTGGTATCTTGTGTCACCCACGTTAGTGAAGAACCAGCAGCAGCAGGCACACCATGAGCCGTCAACGTGCACGAGAGAACATGCAGTAGGGAGGTGAGGTGCGGTGGCGGGAATGGGTCCCTACGTCGGCAGGACCCACCCGCTGCAACTCTTTTGCTCGGAATAGCGATCGACACAAATTGGCCCGGCCCGTCAGGTATGCTGCCGCAACACACGGAGGTTGCTTGCTCATCAAGCGTGTTACTACGCGTGTTTTCTACAAAACATCTCCTGTCTATCTACCCCAGCTGGCCGGCCGAACAATAGGAGAAAGCGCGACTAATGACCGATCGAACCTGACACCCACCACCGTAACGCGTTCGTTACATGGACGAAAACTATCGCGACCGGTACACACATAGCTGTGCAGAGACGCAACTCTTGTCGCCCCCGCCCTCCCCCGCCCAATGCCGTACGCCTTAATGGCACGGAAAATGAAATATCGCAAGAACCCTAGAAAACGACACGGATCTCCGGCCCACCTTCACGGAAACCCGGCGTTTCCGACGGAAACAAACTCCAAAACCTCGCAAACCCCAAGCACGGTACGGATCTCCAACCCGCCTTCACGGAAACCCGGCGTTTTTGGCGGGAAAGCAAAAACAAACATTCCGCGGGACGTTGCGTCACCTTCACGGGGAGCTTCCTCGCCATAGCAGACCTTGCCAGCATGTCCAACGCGTCTGCCACCGCCCTTGTCTGGCTCGTCTCGACCAGCTGCTCCACACCGCCCAGGTCGATGTCAACCTGTAGCGAGCGCGAGTTCAACAGGGGCAACAAGGAACAATAACGACGGCGGACGGCCATGTCGACGTGTGCGTGTTGCGGGATGAAATTACATGCACGTGGTTTAACTCAGCCAGTTCAGCAACAGCAGCAGCAGCAGAAGCTGCAGCAGCAGCGTCTCTTAGTATCATGGTGCGGCGCCACAGTCGACGGCGGAAACTACCGCCAACGTGACATGAGACCGGCGCTTGTCTGAAAAGGCAAGGAAACATCACGTGACACGAGGTTCGGCCGCTCGGCACGACTAATAGGGCATGCAACAATCACATCACCGACAGCAACCAAGATGATGAAATACGACGAAAGCGCGCGGCAGCATCCACGGCAACAAACGAACAACGACAGCATTATCAACCATAACCACAACAACAGCAAGGCAGGCGTTCACCACACCACCACCCGATACAATTAATTCACCAACAACAACATCAACAACAGCCAAGACCGTCAGCGACACAATTCACCACCACCAACAACAGCACAACAAAACGCACCAATCCATGCATAAAAAAAACTCACGTCGCCGTACTGAATCTTGTCCTTCGACCTCGCCACCACCTTCCCGCGGGACGCGTAGGTCCTGGCCTGGGGCACCCTGGCGCCCCCCGCGAGGTGGAACGTCTTGTGCCGCTTCACCCCGCCGCCGCCGCCGACGGTTTCGTCCGCCGCGATCCGCTTCGCCTCCGCGGTCACGTCCTTACCGTACCATACACGCGGCGGTCGGTCGGTAGGTTGGTCGGTTCCCGACGACAAAAAAAAATGAATTAATAGGTATTTTTACATCTTAAGACTATTTTTTTCTCTTTATATCTATCTGTGGATACAGAGATGAAAATTGTCTTGGTTACTTTATCTCGAAAGAAAAAAAATACATATATATGCTTATTTATCCTGGACTCTTCTTTCTCTTCTCGTGGGAGCCAGAGAGAAAGAACAGAAACCAACGGAGCAGCACAGAAAATGGCAGAAGAATTCTGACGCAATCGCATTCACCACAACGCGCCGGCCTAACCCCCCCAGCTCCAAGCACACCACCGACAGGATCGCCACAGGCAGGACCTCGGCTCGGTAGCGCCACCACCACCTCAGCTATGCTTCGCAACACTTGAAACAAGTAGCCGCTTGCAAACGTCGCCAGCCAGCCAGCCACACCAGTCTCTCTCTCTCTCTCTCTCTCCAGCCAGCCACACCAGTCTCTCTCTCTCTCTCTCTCTCTCTCTCTCTCTCTCTCTCTCTCTCTCTCTCTCTCTTTCTCTCTCTCTCTCTCTCGTTATCTCCCGCACACACATACACGCCTCAGTGGTCTTCTCATTGGCAAGCCGGTTAGCGCGTTCGATGCTGTTTGTGTACCCCCGTGCCTTCCCACGGGGGCTGACGTGCCCACCCACGGTAATAAGAGTTGATCTGGGGGCTATGTTAACCCAGGGACCGATGCAGATGAGTAGAACCTTGATTATCAAACACAGTGCTCCTTCCAGCACAATATACACAGTATCTCTTGCAGACACAGCAGTGAACACATGCGCGGGCTCTCAGGAGGGGCCCCGCGCTTGGACCCTCAACGGCATACCCCACACACACGTATTCTGCAGATCGGATCTTGTATCCAAGTACCCCAAACAGATGCTAACAAATGGACACACACACCACACACCTTGGGCACATAGCAGTCCATCATGATGACCGTGTCGGCCACCTCGAAGTAGTCGCCGCACCCCCCGATGACCAGGATGGATGACACGCTCATCGTCTCGTACAGCGCGCGAACCCGGCTGATGAAGGGGGTGATCGGCTCCTTCTCCTTCGCCACCAGCCTTGGGGAAAAAGAAAAAGAAGAAAAACACGCGGGTGAAGCGGGGAGTCAGCCGCACGGACGTGCGCGAGGTTGTCGCACGGATGCCGGTCGTCGTCAGCAGCAGCAGCAGTAACAGCAGTAGCAGCGACTCAACGTGGGCGGGATCACGACTGGTTACCGGTAGCGTTTTCCCCGGTCTACGGACAAAGAAGGGCTTTAAACGCCGGAGTACGTGCGTGCGTGTGGTACACATTTCGTATGAGCTGTTTCCGGTTCCAGAAGTAGGGGGGGGGGGGGGGAGGGGGGGGGCC